AATGGAATGGATGCCAGGTGTTGTCCTCGGTTCTGCTGATATTACTTGGAAATTCTGCTGTGTAGGTATGTCCTGTCACGGTCGCCAAAATGTTTTGTATTAAAGCATACAAAGTATTTTTAGTGATAAATTTATTTGATATTGATAACTGATTTTAAACTGGTTGAAAATAATGATATAAATTGATTGATAGTAATGATAATATATTTTTGACTGTTCTCGTTCTTAATTATTTTTTGTTAATGTCATTCGTTGTCCATGACAACCGGCACACTATGAGTTGTTCATTTCGCATACACTTATGATATTGTTTTTTATTTCTGCAACAAAGGTAAAGGAGAATATATCAATAATGACTTTCAGGACTTTATCAGGAAGAATGGAATATTACATGAATGTTCAGCTCCTTATACACCACAACAAAATGGCCGCAGTGAGAGGCAGTTACGGACAATTGTTGAAAGTGCAAGAACTATGCTTATCAACAAAAATGTGTCACAAGAATTGTGGACCGAAGCTGTACATACTGCTGTATATGTTCTTAATCGAACAGCTTCAAGTCAAGTACAAAACATGACTCCATATGAAAAGTGGTTTGGGAGAAAACCAGATCTAAAGCACATCAGAGCTTTTGGCAGTACAGCTTACATGTTGATACCATCACAGTTTCGTAAGAAGTTTGACTCAAAATCAAGAAAATTATTGTTCGTTGGATATGATGGATATTCATCAAATTATAGACTGTGGGATTGTGAGAAAAGAAAAATTGAAGTGAGCTGCAATGTAAATTTTAATGAAGATGAAACAATTAAAAATAAGAAGGAAATTTTTAGATTAAAATTTGAACTCTTAGATGATAATGAAGAAAGGGACAATGATGATATGTATGATATTCAAGAAAGTGACAATGAAGAGAGTTTAGACATGTCACAAGGTAGTAGGTCTCAAGCAACAGATCATAATGATGAGGATTTTGATTGTAATCTGTTCTATGATGCCAATGATGATAATTTTAATGATAGACAGCTACGGAACAGAAATACACTCTCGAAGCCTGACTATTATGGTGTAGCAAACTACTGTGACATAGTTGAACCCATAAGTTATGAAAGTGCAATAAAGTGTGAGGACTCTAGCAAGTGGCAACAAGCAATGCAGGAGGAAATAGATGCCCTCAAGTTTAATAACACATGGAACTTGGTGAAATTGCCCAATGGTGCAAAAGTGATAGACAATAAGTGGGTCTATCGTGTTAAGACTGGCTCAGACGGTAATCCTGTTCGTTATAAAGCACGTCTGGTTGCACGCGGTTTTATGCAAGAACGTGGAATAGACTATGAAGACTGGTTTTGAAAGTAAGAAGTCACACAACTTAGTGTGTAAATTGAATAAAAGCTTATATGGACTTAAGCAATCACCACGATGCTGGAACCAGAAGTTTGTATCCTTTCTTAATAAATTTGACTTTAGACAAGTAAAAAGTGATCAATGTGTTTTTGTTGGTAATTTTGCAAATTCTGAAACTTATTTAGCAATTTATGTTGATGATGGACTTGTCATGTCAAAATCAGAAAGAGCTATTAATGAACTTTTAGAAACTTTAAAGCAAATATTTAAAATAACTGTAAATTTAAATAGTAAATTACATTTTGTTGGACTTCAGATTGAACAAGATCTTAGTGCAGGCTTAATGCAGTCTTAGTGCTTAGAACAATTGCTATTCATCAACATAATTACATAGAAAAACTTCTTGTTAAATTTAATATGACTAATGCTAACCCATTAAAGATTCCTGCAGGGCCTAGTGTACCTTTGTCTAAAGGAAATATTTTAAATTGTAATAAATCTTTGCCATATCGTGAGGCTGTTGGTTCACTAATCTTTCTGGCAACCACCAGTCGCCCAGATATTACATTTGCAGTTAATCAGGTGAGCAGATTCTTTAATGCTTGGAGTGATGAACATTGGAAAGCGGTAAAACGGATTTTTAGATATCTAAAATATACTGCTCATTATAAAATTGTGTACAGAAAAACTACACAAATCAAGGTAATATTCTACACTGATGCAGACTATGCTGTCTGCCTGGATACAAGAAAATCTACTAGTGGATATGTATTTATACTAGGCAATGGTCCTATTACCTGGAAGAGCCAAAAACAAAACATAGTGGCACAGTCAACTACAGAGGCCGAATATGTGTCCTTGGCTTTTGGTGTTAGAGAAGCTTTATGGCTTAGAAATTTTTTAAAAGAGATTGGAATTGATGTCTCACCTGTCAACATCTTTGTTGATAATCAATCTGCCCTTAAGCTAACACAGGCACAACAATTTCATAGCAGAACAAAGCATATTGATATTAAGGTTCACTTTGTTCGACATGAATGTGAAAACAAGAATATCTGTGTAAGCTATGTCAATACAAGTAATCAGTTAGCGGACTTGTTTACAAAAGCATTGTCAAAGACAGTTTTTAACAATTTATTGAATAAGTTAAATTTGTCAATTTAAATTATGTATTTGTTAATTTGTATTAGATCTTTGCTTTCATGTCTTTTGTATTAGGTCTTTGTATTCAAATCTTGAATAAGTGGGAGTTTTAATATAAGCTCCCGCACTACTGTAATATTCAAGATATAAGAAAAAGAAGAATTAAGTTTTTAAGGTTATGTCAATGTTCTCAAATATGTAAAAACGGTTACACACATGTTAAATTAATATTCTCAGTTTCTCAGGCTAATAATTATTGTTTAATAAACTTTTTACAATTCGACAATATAGTTATTTTATTTATCAGATCTCTTGGACAGGGCACGTGACCAACAACGAGGTGCTGAGAAGAATGGAGACTGAAAGAGAACTCCTAAATAATGTAAAAACCAGAAAAACGAGTTATCTAGGACATATTTACAGAGGAGAAAAATATAGCTTCCTACGACTAATAATGGAAAGAAAAGTGGAATGAAGAAGAAAATGCTCCTGGCTGAAAAATGTAAGAGACTGGACAGGCATGGGCACACATGTGATACTAAGAACAGCTCAAGATATAGAGTAATTTGCTGTAGTTATAGCCAACCTTTAGTAATGGAGAGGGCACCTTAAAAAGATATAGATGAGTAAACCTCTGCATGAATGACATTTCGTGTAGAACTATTGGTTGAAATCTGAAGATGTTTCCAGAAACGGAGGATTGTCTACAGAGATCAGGTTATACTAACCAAAGATTACTTGAAATACAATATTATATACACATTAATACACATGTAGCTTCAAAACGACAAACGTCGATATGGATAGAGCCCAAGAAACTATCCAACATCTAACCAGGGCTGCCAAACGTTTGTTGAAACAGATTGTTATAAAGAACAACATTAGTCAGTAGGAAATATTCTTCATCAAGTACTAGCCAACAAACTGGGACTTATTACCAATATATTCCTGATAGCATACTGGAAAATGACAACTATAAGCCAGAATGGGACAGCACTGTGTTTAAAAACCAACCAGTGGGCACATAATAGACCGGTCTTATACTAAATAATGAACTAAACAACATTAATTGATGTACAACAAGAGCAATCTGTATGCTAAATACAACCAGAAAATCGCCAAGTACAAAGATCTTGAGATATAAATAAGGAAACAATATAGAATGCAAAGTTCCCAGGTGATGCTTATTATTCTGTAGTTTTCAATACTACCAATATCATTTCAAAAATGGTTCTAAAGAACATAAAGCAACTCGGTTTTACTAAATATCCCTATAACACCATACAGAAAGCGGTGACGCTCCTAACATCCAGATGCGTAAGAAAATTTCGTAACAGATATTCTGGCGTACTGGGTTATCTATGACTCAATTTTTTTGATACTATAGGTATCTATGAGACTAGTGAATTTTTCCCTAAAAAGGAGTAAGTGCCGTATAGTTTTAATCTGGATAAAAATAATAATCTTCTTATCATCCAACACATCACTCGCTTTCTTCCACCTCATCCATCCAAACCTAACTCTACTGCATTCATCCACATATATTTCTCTATCACCCTATAATACCAATCCTAGGTACTTGACACTATTACTTTTAATAATTATTTTACTATCCATAATTTTGTTTTTGTAGTAATTTCTGCTTAAAATGAACATTAAAAATACTTTTTTTGTTCTAGTAGGTTTTAAAACTTTTTCCCCACAAATTTGTCGCCACTGTTTCAGTTTTTGTCAAAAATTCATTTCAGTATTTCCTAATAACACTTAATATAGATTAAACAATAAGCAATGTTTCCAGTTTTTCTCTTATTTTGCTCAATATTCATGTTTTCATATAATATTTACATACTTACCGGAACCTTCTTTATCAGATTCTTTCTCAAAATCATTAAATACGATATGAGTGTTCGTTTCTTTTATATCAGCAGTATCTCTAACTCTTCATATGCGAAAAACAATACATAATTTTCATAGTATCAAATCTAAAAAAAAACCTTAATTTCAAATCATTAACTAAATCAACTCTTAGTTAGGCCTCCTACTACTGTCTCGAACCATACCCTCGCAAAAGATGGACATTATTGGACAATGTACAAGAAAATCTCCATTTTGATTGTTGGCTCCCATATACAACAGACGCTGTTTTTGCGTCTCTTATTTTGGTACACGTAAGGCACCTCAACTAGTAAGCGACTAGTGAAAAATACCGCAAATTATTATAGACAAAAGCCGGTAACCCGCGGAAGACAATTAACCCTCGTATGAAAAACAATCACATGTGAATACCGAGAGTATATACAACAGTAATATTAATGAACTTTTTTATAAAATTGAGTTAGCTATTGTTTTAATGATTTTTGTCAGATTATGTGATGAAATATGATTTTGTGTCCAATTTTGTGTTTGTAATATCTATGAAATCTACTGATGCTTCTGTAAATTTTTAAAAGAGGAATTGAGGCATAGTGTTGTTTATAGCAGTGATTAATGAAAAATATGTTTTAGCTTACCTGGAACTATAAGGTTCATCGTCAAAATATAACCCTCTGTCAAGGGATCTATCTCGTCTATCTCGAATTGGTAAAAATTCTCGTTCGTGGTCCATTGTGGGTCCTCTATCTAAAGACTGATATCGAACAGACATTGGATTGGATGGTCTGAAATGAATAAAGACATACAATTTAGTATCATAATAACACATTTTAGTATATAGTAATCTAATGTTGTAGTCAATAAATTAATAGATTATTGAATACAAATAGTATTTATCTATTTGTTGGTTTTAAATAGTCTGGAACTGAATAAATGGGTGAATTTTCTTTTAGCGGGAACAGTAATGGTTTTAAACATGTCCATCGTCAAAAAAAAAGTATGTGTGTTTTGGTTTTTTTTACACATGCTCCACATACTTTTTAATAGAACCTCAAATCTAATGACTACGCAGAAAATGTTGGTATAACAATGACCTACATAGTCGATTATAAAGCCTGATGTGTGACAAACAAGATCAATAATTATAACTGGACTGTGTACATCGTCTTGCCGTAACTATTATTTACATGTAGGTTAAAGTTTGTTAATAAGGAAATTACGAAGATCTCTTGTTCTAGCGACTGCACGATGGCCCACTCAATACAACTCTTTCTTTGACAGTTTAGGGAATATATTAAGTGTTTTTAAAGGATTGGTATATCCTTTATTTCATCAATTATTTTGTCATGAATTCATTCTTTATAAGACTAGTTGATAAATCTAAACTAATACAACCAAAAACTAGTATCAATAGCAAATATTTTTGTAGTACTGATGGACTATCCATAAAAATTTTCTTTAACCTCCCAAAAAATGTGTTGGAAGTTCTGGTCTCATTAAGTAATGATTGCTTTAAAAAAGGTACATTTTCAGAGTGCCTAAAGACAGCTATTATTATTCCTTCTCATATTGTCTAATCACCGGTACTATCTAAAATTATTGAGAGACATGTCGTTTATCGTTGAAAACATTTTATCAGAAAATCAGTTCCGCTTTCTATTTATTAACTATACCAGTGATACTATGTTTTCGGTACTACATGAGGTTTACTAAGTACTAAACAATAATCTTTACACTGCCATTGTTTTTTTTGACTATGTCAAAGCTTTTGATGGTGTGTGAATCACGAAATTTTGATAAAAAAACTAAATTTCTACGGAATTCGAGGTATTTTTTTGGTTATAATATTACTTGAGCAATAGGAAACAACTAGTTAGAGCAAATGATACTGACTCTAGTCACTAAAGCATAATATGTGGAGTACGATAAGATACAGTTTAGGGTCCTATACTTTTTATTTTCTTAATAAATGACATCACTAATTCGATAAAATAGATGGAAATATTTTTCTTTTTGCTGATGATTCTAGTATCACCTGGAGCATCTCTAATATTGCAACTCTTCATGCAATTATAATTTCTTATCTACTTACAATAAACATCTGGCCCGACTCTAATTTACTTTCTTTTATCGTGGATAATATAGTACTATTACTACCTTAAACAGTCCCGTCCTATCAATTTGTTAAGAAGGAAACTAGCCTCAGCCTGCTATGCAATAAGATCTCTTGTAGAAGCTACTCAGAGCCACGGGATTGTAATTCTTATGTGTGTATATATTATATAAACTGTTTGCTTAATTCGTAAACATCTAGATGTTTTTCTAACGAAACAAGACCTACTTCACCAGAAATTCAACCTTTGATGTTAATTTATCGATACCTCTCCAACATCTTTCCCCAAGATCCGTTAAATAACAAACGCTAAATAGCTAAGAAATTACAGTACTGTTGTATACAAAAATCGTACTAGTCCGCAGACTATCCCGCTCGATGACATCTCCCCCCCCTCTGGAGACTCTGCGGCTGGGAAAAATATTTATTGATGAAAATACAAGAAAAATAAATGCATAAAAATACAAGTAAAGTAAAAATGTTTATAAAAAGTCTATTAAAATTCACAACACTTGAACCTGGGGGGAGATATTACTGCTTTTCCTACTGCGACAGGCTCCATACACGGTTGGTGTACCATTTCTCCCCGCGGGTTCGTCTTCTTATCCCATCCACATTATCCAGGGGTCTCGTAGGCGGTCGGGAGGGCAGGCAGGAACTGCGGCTACTCCGTAACTTCTGGGGCTTCAAGCGTTGAAGGGGGCTGGCTCGTTGAGATATCTGGTACACGAAAGGCATCAGGTCTGCTGCAGAGCTCGATAGTGGAGTGTTAGAGTATAGCTTTCTAACACTTCTTGGCTCTCCCCACTGTTCTCTTGACTTTAACCCCTGTGTGTTGCCTTCTATGGACCAAGCTAGGTTTGGAATTAAATCCGTTAAAGCGTCTAATCACCTTCAGAATCCTCGGACTTCCCCTCTGTAGAGGGCTCCATATAATGTAGTCAAAGGATCCTCTACCAAGTCCATTTACAGTAATAGACTTGTAAAAAATGGTTATTTTCGGTGTCTTGTCTTAAAAAAAGACAAGATATTTCTTACATGACAATTCTTCATCGCAATAGTAACACCAAGTTCAAGTCGAAAAATAATTCTCAGCAACAAAATATAGAAAACAAGAGCAGAGCCCGAGAGGAGCCCGTGAGGGACTGACCTAGCGATAAATAGAGATTTCTAGGTCAATAGCCAATGGGAAAATTCGAGGTGGAACGATGCGCATCGGAGTGTGTACTAGTCTGCAGACTATCGAGCTACATGACAGTATATTGCTAACTCTAGTTAGAGTCGAGGAGTAATTTGCAGGTGCGATCTCGGCGGTAGCTGATCTAAGTCGCAACATTAGATAGTGTACATCAAAAACTTGTGTGCATCAAAAAACTGATATGACCTGTAAAATATAATGCCACAGTTTGAAAGTTTCGAGTTTGTTTTCATTTGATTCATATTTTCTTATATTTGTTCATATACCATTTTTATAACAGGCTGTTAGGTACCAAATCATTTTAGTATACATGTAGCATAATTATTTTGTGTCAAAATTATCTTTCTAATATAATAATTAATTGCGTTTACTTCCCACTTACGCCATTTTAATAACCTTTTTGAACTTTCTAAGCTTCGCCATAATAAATCGTTAAGACACTCCTGTATTCTCAAGCAAAATATTGGGACTAAAAAATGAATTAGGACCTACATTAACGCAAGATGATTTATCTCTACATTAATCGCCTTAAAACATTTTTAATATTTCTTAGGACCACTCACAACACCCCTAGTTAGATTATGTAAACGCAAAATGAAATAAATTTTGAATTTCTCTCTCCGGAGAGAAGTATAAAGTCGCAACAAGTATCTAAAAGATTTGAATAAAATACTTTTTACCAATTCAAATGTTCCTAAAGTAATATTCCAAGCATGGAGAAATTTAATCCTATCTGAATAAAAGTTTGGGATTACATACGCTTGCAAAGTGTTCGGTATTTCTCCTTCGCTTTTTGATAAATATATATATATATATATATATATATATATATATATATATATATATATATATGATTATATATATATATATATATATATATATATATATGATTATATATATATATATATATGATATATATATATATATGATATATATATCATATATATATATATGATTATATATATATATATATATATATATAATTATATATATATATATATAATATATATATATATATATATATATATATATATATATATATATATATAATAAAATGAACTGACAGAATAAAGGAATATCCATTGATGGAAAATACGTCAGACATCTAAGATTTGCAGACGACATCGTTCTGATTGCTAATATTCCTGCAGATCTACAAGAACAGAAGACCCTGCTGCAAAGTCCATGCAACTAGTTACTCATCACAAAATACTTGGTTTAACAATTGACACTAGGCTAACTGGGAAACAACATATTAGTGTAGTAAAGGGCAATGCAATGAACAGACTTAATATCATCAAGGGACTATTAAAGTACACATGGGTTGCGGACAAACCGCCTTCTCGGGATTCTCTCTGGATTCGACGAGAGTATCTTCTTTAATCTTACTTTGCTTCCATATCCGCAAATACATCCAATCCAGTCTACCATTTAATTACTTCAACATCGCCTCCGGAGACCCCGCAAAGAATTTAATCAATAATAGACATTCAGAAATTAACTGTAAGAAAAACCATCGACTTTACTAAAACACATCCCTTCCCAATCCTGAATATTCCTTCTTGGAATAGATCAATCCCGCATTTAATCACTTCTCTATTAGAATACAGTAAACATGAAACATCAAGCCTTCTAATAAGGCAACACTTCGAAGAAATCATACGCAAGAACCAATTAAAAAGAATTCTGTATGCCTCCAAAAGCAAAGCAGGCGTTGGATGTGCCATTACCACATATGATAAAATAATAAAATCAGCTTTTTTACCGAATTTATGCAGCGTTTACACTGCAAAAATGTATGCGATACTAGAAGCTTTTAAAAAACTAAAAACAGATGATAAAAACTAAGCAATATGCACAGACCCCTGTCGTCACTACACTCGATAAAAAGTCTGTACTCTCAGCATCCCTTAGTTCAAGAAATCCATAGGACTTACAGTGCACTCGCTTTACAAAGTGTAAATGTCACGATCATCTGGCTACCATCCCATATCGGCATCCACAGTATTGAAAAAGCAGATCAAGCAGCCAAGCAAGCTTCTTGTGTAAACAGTCAATCCTCAAAAGCTTAAAATATTTAAATCCGTAATGACCTAAAGCAAATATTCAAGCAACAGCAGTGTCATACCTGGCAAACCCCCTGGAACACAGTCAAGAGTGTGTTATACGAGATCCGGCAGACTGGAAAATTTAAACTTCCAACAATCTCTAGAAAAGAAAAAGCTGTCATCCGAAGATACAGAATAGGACATACCCGATTCACACATGAATACTTAATGGAGTTCGAGCCTAAGCCCAATTGCCAAATCTGCCCAAGTGTATTTAACTGTGAAACACATCCTGATCGAGTGTCCCCGGTACGCAAAACACAGAGTGCAACATAAACTTAAGTCAAATATTAGAGACGTTTCAAACTCACCCGATTAAGTTTTTAACCTATTTTGTTGCTTGAAAGACATTCAGTTGTTCAACAG